CGGGCTTGTGCAGATGCTCCCGCTGCTGGCTAGCGCCCAGTATGCGTGTCTGACGCAGATTCTCGATGTAATTCTCACGCTGCAGCTGCAGACCCGCAAAATCCTCGGTCAGGTTTTCATTGGCATGCGAATTCACCTGCAGTGTCATGGCCGCCAGCTTTTCGATCGCATATTCGCGTGTACGGCGACTTATCCAGTTCAGTGACCGATCCGATTGCAGTGTCTGCTCGAAGGTGGACTTCAGCTGGCGCCAGATGAGCTCAACGTCGGAGGCGGTGGCATTGTTGTTGTAGCGCCGAAAGATCATGTTGTCCAGGTTCTTGGCAAAGTACTGCTTGGTCAGCGATATGCACTTCTCCTGCCGCTTGGCCAGCGTCTTGCCCGGCTCCATGGCGAATTCATCAATCAATCGAAAGAATATATAGTTGGCCACAATGCGTTTGGGCGTGCGCCCAATCACCCTCATTAGATTCTGTTGATACTGCGAATTGAAGTCATAGACGGGGTCGTTGACTTGCTCGCCCAGCGATATGTTAACCAATCGCTCTATGTTCAGTACAGGCGCATAGGCTAGCTGCATCTCTGCGATGGTCGTCAGCTGTGAGATATCTGTGAGGTCGAGGCCGTCGGTTTCATCGATCAGGCCATTGGCCAGACGCACCTCAAAGTCCATCAGCTCCGTGGCCGTTATGTGTGCCAGACCACTTTTCATGCCCAAAAAGGTCATCAGCTTATTTGCCATACTGGCTTGAAAGGTGCTCCTGTAGACGGCGGTGTGGTCGTCTAGGTACATGCTGCGTGTTTCGAGCGGAAACTCCTGCTGGCCAATGTACGCCAGATTCACCTCGTTGTTGGCAAAGTCCTTGGTCACCTCAACGCCCAGGATAATTACCAGTCCATAGCGATAAGCTATACGCGCAACCGTTTCCAGCCAGTCAAAGTCTGCCTCCTGCCAGGCACCAGCAGGCACCAGCGCAGGCATTGTGCCGAACTCGGCTATCAAATTCTTAAGCTTCTGCCGATAGCTTCTGTCCACCTCGTGCACATGCACGCAGGAATGGTAGAAGTTCTTCACTTGCACATCCTCTGCCGTGTCCAGGGCATCGTTTTCACTGTTCAGAGTGTGCTTCACCTTGCGATTGAGGCCTTCGGTCAGACGCTCGAACAGGCCCGTGCTTATTTGATTCAGCGTTGTGGCCGGATTAATTCTCGCCCAATTGCCGCAGGCAAATTCATAGAAATTCTCACACGGATCGACGCTCTCATTCATAAAGTTTGCCATTTCCGCTGCCTTCGCCTGTCGCATCACCTCGTCTATATAGCCCGTATCCATCTTGCTGTCGGATATGTAATCGGCATCGACAGGCGCCGCTCGGCCATATGACAGCCGGAGCAGGAACAGCGGCCCGTACAATAGAAGCCATTGGGTATGACTCATTGGGATCAGCATCTTTCGCGTCGCGTTGTTTCTTAGTGGATCTGCAGCTGATGACTGAGCGCGCTGGCACTCATTTGTGTAAATATAGAGTCCACCTCGTCTATATAAAGATGCACAGACACTTAGCCCACTTGCTGATAAATGAGAGCAAAACAGGCCGAGCTTTGGTGTGACCCGTTGGGTTATCTCTATCAATACGTTGTCGCCACAATTGTGAGACCCACACTCACAAAGCTCGAGTTAAAACAATTGCCAGTGACCCAGCTTGAAGCAGTTGTACATGTGCAGGTTTCCACTTATTTACCCACGCCTATTTGTGTCTAAATGATTCTTAAAGCTCATTATTCAATTCATCGGAAGCTAATCCTATGGCCGACCTCACGTTATTTATACGAGCCCAACAAATGCGCGTGTTTTCCTGGATTTCTCAGCGTTTTCGAGAGATTACGGCAAAAATGTTGCTAGTTGTGCCATGAAACTTATCAAGTTTGTTGATGGTCCTCAATTAAATAGCAAGCTCTATGAATTGAAGATCGCCTTGGTTTTGCTTTTACTTTGATTTCTTGTCATATTTTGTTTCTAATGTTTTTCAATTACCATAAAATATGCATATGTTTTTCTGTTTTTTTTTGTTTTCAATTATAATAAAAAATACATTGCATATGTAATCAAAAGGTATATGGTATATTACACGTTTTTTCTGAGCTAAGCTTTAATTTAAAAAAAAAAAAATTGTCATTAATCTATTTTTCAACTAATTTGTCAAGGCACTTTAACAAATTTTGAAATATATTTTTTTTAATGTCATTTACAATTGAAATACACATGTGCTTGTTCTTGTCAGCTTAGGCAGTTGATGTGCCAATTAAGCATTGCACTATTTCTATTTTATTTAAAGGATAAATGATTTTAAATTTTAAAATGTATTCCGAGTCAACAAACCAATTGTGTACAGCATTAACAAGACGTATACAAATTGAATGCAAATAAATGTATTTAACTTCTTGTCAAAGTTCTTGCTAACTAAGACTTGGAGTTCTATTTCTTTAACTTCTTGTCAAGTTAGGCTGAGGCTTTCAAGGTTCGATGACCATAATTTCCAAAATTTATTCAGCGATACCAATAACATTTAGTTAACTTTAACTAGGCTAATACTAAAGAGTGTATATGGTTTTCAGCGTAAAAGTTTTCCGTAGACACACACACGATTATATAAATATTAAGGTAGAATTTCTGTATGTATTTGTTTACATATACGATATGAGCTTTTTTTTTATTATTAAAATTCATTGGGCATAAATGTAATGGGTGTAATATATACAGCTGTGTGTGGACAGAAACGACAACGTGAGCTGTGACCTAATCACGTTGCCTTCTCTATGGGATTCTTTCTGTATACGGACTTGGCGTCGGACCAATGACCAGTCATAGCGATAAGGAAAAGCTCCCGACTCTCGGTGGCGGATTGAAAGTGCGTTGCGGAAGGCGATTCAGTCGCTCTTCAGCCATGAGACGCATGTGGTTCAGTGTGGTTAGCTGTGCTCTGCTGTGGCTGGGCTGTGTGCGCAGCCACTTGTTGTCGCAGCCGGAGGTGGATACACACATACAGCTGCAGGAGCAGCTTATATCGCAGCACAATGATAGCGCCTATGTGCAACGCGTGATGCGACTGGCCAAATCGGCGGAGATGCGCAGCTATATGCAGCCGGAGCTGGATGCCTGCGATGATTTCTTTGGCTACAGCTGCGGCATGTGGCCCAAAATCAATCCGGCCAATGCGGCACAGCCTCGTGAGACCAACTACCAACAGCTGCTCGCCAATGGCTATCAGCACAAGCAGCAGCGCCTACTGGAGCAGCCAGCGGATGCGGACAGCGATGATGTGGCTGTGCTCAAACTTAAGCAATTCTATGCCAGTTGCCTGCGTTTCCGGCAGACGCCCGAAGCTCTCTACCGCCAACAGCTGCTGGAGATTGCCGCTGAATTTGGACGCATGCCCGCGCTGGCGCTGCCTGGTCAGCAGTGGCCAGCCGATGGTTTCGACTGGCTGGCCACCGTGGCGCATATCAAGCGCAAGTACGGCCTGGACATTATATTGCTTCTGCAGCAGGCGCCCGATCCGCACAACAAGACCCAAAGTCGTTTATACGTTGGCCAGCCGCCTCGCTTCGTTGTGGAGCCCAATCGTGCAGCTGTTGTTCAGCGCATAGCCATCCAGCTGGAGCAGCATCTGGGCGTGGAGGCGGCACTGGCGCGCAGAACAGCGCAGGAAATAACCGATTTGGAAATGTTGCTGGCCAAAGGCATGTCGACTCGTCCAATTGGTCCACTCGCTCTGCCGCGTTCCACTGTGGAGCTGACCAATGCCTATGCGCCCACATTGAATCTGACACATTATGTGGAACTGGCTTTACAGCGTCCTTTGCAGCCAGAGGAGATGCTCTACGAACATGTGGTCACCTATCAGGCGCATCTACTGGTCGTGCTGGCCCAGACGCCGCCTCATGTGCTGGCCAACTACATCTTCCATAAGCTGCTGGACCGTTTCTACTACGACCGCTCGGCGCCGGTTGTTGGCCAGTGCTTGGCCAACGTACGAGAGCTGTTTCCCGAGCTGCTCAACAACATGGCTTATCGGCAGTATGCCGCTCCGGCCACCCTTAGCGATATCGATGCCGTCTGGCAGCAGATCAAGCTCAGCTTTCATAATGTGCTCGAGAGTTCCAGCACAGATTGGTTGTCCGTGGCGACGCGCAGCCATTTGCTGGACCAGCTGAATGCGACGCGTCTGCTGATCAATGGACATGCGCAAGTGAACTTCACGGAGCGCTACAAGCAGCTGGAGCTGAAGCCGCAGGATTATCTGTTCAATTTGCGCGCCGTGTTGGCTCACAGCACTCAGTTCGCCACGCCCACTAGTTCGCCCAATGTGCCCACATACGATCCAGAGGAAAATCAAGTGCTGTTGCCAGTGTCACTGCTGCAGCCAAATTTTCTATGGTCCCGCTTTTATCCACGTGCGCTGCGCTACGGCAGCTTGGGCACAATTATTGCGGAGCAGCTGGCCCACAGCCTGGACAGGCGTGCTGGCTGGGATGCGGCAACGCTGGCTGAGTTTGGCAAGCGCAAGGCCTGCTTTAGGCATCAATATGAACGTTTGCGTTTCGCTGGAGAGTATCTGCCAGCCACTGAGCTGCAGGATGACAATATTGCGGACAATACGGCCGTGCAGCTGGCATATCTGGGCTACAAAAACTATCTGGCAAATCTGGCCTCGAGCGCATTGATTACGGAGTATCTGCCCCAGATGAGCCACAGTCCCCAGCAGCTGTTCTTCATCAGTTATGCCCAGCTTTGGTGCAACGACGCCAACGAGCAGTTCCGGGATAAGCAATCGCTGCTGGCCGCTGGTACGCCGAATGCGCTGCGCGTGCAGGGAGCGTTGGCCAACTTGGATGCATTTGCCAGTGCCTTTGGCTGTGCGAACGAGACGCCCATGAATCCCGAACAGAAGTGCCACATGTACGCCAAAAATTTGAATTAATAAAGCCAGCTGGTCAGAAGCGTTCGAATGCATCATTTCATTATAAAACTTAAAGCTAAAGGATTAACATTTCAGAGCTGCGGCTTAGTAAATGGCGCACTTGAACTCCGGATCCATTGGCGCCTGCTGCGAGCAGTTAAAGACCCACGAGAACTCCTGAAAGTTCGACAATGAGCCAATTACTCGATACATGCCCGGCGCATGATTGTCCGCCTTGGCCACAGAGGTCTTGAAAAAGGACTGGACATCGTCACACCAGAGCTGGGCGAAGCTCACAAAGAACAGCTGACGATTGTTCAGCTCGAAGCCGGCCAATGTCTCCTGCTCCAGCACTTCGAGCGGCTGCTGCTCTAGCCAGCGCTGGTAAGCCTTGTAGGCCAACTTGATGCCCGCATTGTCTGCAATGTTCTCCGATTGTTCCACGCTCTCCGGCAGATGGGTGCCGCCATATTTGTAGGCATGGTACTGAGCCTGAAAGCACTTGCGCTTCTCCTCAAACTCATAGCGCGACTTGTCATCCCACCAGGGCGCTAGATTGCCATTGGCATCATAGGTGCGCCCCTCATCATCGAAGCCGTGAATCATCTCGTGCGCCAACAAATAACCCAGTGTGCCATATTTCAGGGCCTGCGGATAGTTCGCGTCCCAGAAGTAGCGCGGCTGCATCAGCGCCACGGGAATGGTTATGTTGTTGTCCAATATGTTGTAGGCAGCCGTAAATCCCAGCACATCGGTCGCCTCCAGTGAAGTGGGCGCACTGTGCAGCCTGTTCAGATTCCATTTGGCCTTCGCCTTGAGCACCTGTTGCACATTGCGCACATAGTTCAGCTTGTCCACCGCCACGTCGCCGTAGAGCGCCTCGAAATCCTCATGGTCATACGAGTTAATGTACAGCTGCATGCGATCCAACTTCTCAATGGCCAGCTGGCGTGTTTTGTTCGATATCCAGTCGAGCTTGTCGCCCGCCAACTGTTGCCGGAACGTCTCGCGTATCTGCTTCCAGACGCTGTGCACCTCAGCCTCGGCCTCGGGGCTGCGGTACCGCTCATAGATCATGTGATCCGTCAGCTTGGCAAAGTACTTCTTAGTCTGTTCGGTGCACCAGTTGCGCATCTCGCTGGGCTTGGTATCGATCCGGTATGGCTCCAACAGCTTCCACAGCACATAGTTGCCAATGGTTGGAGTGGGCGTGGTCTGGAGTGTGCGCAATGTGTTATTCAAATAGCTTTCGCTGTAGACATATATGTGCTCCGGCACATTATCTTCCCCGAGAACCAGACCCAGAAACTCTGTAATATTCAATTGCTCCGTGTATTTCTCCTCAAGTTCGGATACGGTGTAAAGGGTCAGATCGTCGCCCAGGCTGCCACCATGACTAATGCTACCCGCTAGTAAATTGCGATCGAGTTCGTTCATCTCCTTTGCGGCTTGCTTGGCCAAGTGCTTGTCTACCGCAAAGTATTGCTGCAGCTCCTCCGCCACGGCTGCATCCTCGAGGGAGTTCAGCACGGGTATGGGAGTGTGTTTATTGTCGGGCGGGCCCAGGTAGACCCGATTCACCGTATGGTTGGCAATGTCGGACATGACATCCACAGCCAGAATTATCTGTCTGCCGTATTTGTGCTGTATATCCGCTACGGTGCGCCACCAGCTAAAGTCCGAGGCGTTCCATCGCGGACCCTCGAGCATGGGCAGCTCTCCATATTCGCGATAGATGCTATGTAACGCCAGCTTGTACTGCACATCCTCACGTTGTATTACCAGGCAGGATTGATAGAAATTCTGCAGCTTCTCCTCCAGATTGGTTTTCATCTGTCCGGACTGCAGCAGGCGCTGCAGTCGTCGATCAAAGCCCTTGGAAATCAGCTGGAATGTATCCGTCATTATGTTTCTCAATAGCTGGGCAGGATTGTGACGATGCCAGTTGCCGCACGCATAGCTATAGAAGTCGTCGCAGGGCGCGATGCGCGTATTCAGCATGCTCTTCATTTCTGCCACCTTCGATTGCCGTATTATCTGTTTCGCATAGTCCGTGGTTAGATCATCGCGCACGGCCGTGCTGGTATTCTCCGTCGGCAAGGCCAACGCATTGGCCATCAACAACCAAAATACAGCCTGCCGCAGAGCGCCGTTCAAACACCGTCCTGACATGAATCTCGCCATCGATTCAACTGAGCTGCCAAAGTCGCTTTGTCTGGCTGCAGTGCCTCACTTATCAGTGGGCTTTGTGTTTTTTCTCTGGCCCCGCGCCGCTGGGGTAGGTCAAACTGTTATCGCATGTCTCGAGAGCGAGCTACAGGCAGAGCGTACTCTTATACGGGATATACTTATATACCCGCCTGATACATAGATCGCGTGTACAACAATTATGCGGCTGGAAAGGCAAATAAATTGTTTGTGCTACAGATACAAATCTTTAAATATAATATTTATTTCTTTTATTAGTTTTAACTAAAACCATTCAGATGTTTAGTTTGTCAGTTTGAACCCTTGAGCCCTTTGCCCAAAGCAGAGTCTGCGACTCGAGCCCATTTTCGATATTAATTTGTCTTTAAAATGATGCAATCGATGGCTCATGCTAATATCTTCTATTTGCAGCAATACCAATATTTTATATACTGGCCATTGTGCCGGGTCTGATGCCATGGGACAGTGGCTACAAGTTCCTTTCGTTTTGTCACGTATTTGGCTCGGTGGCGCCTTGGTGCGGCAGCTTCGTCTATCATCTGTTTATGAACATTGAGAAGGGCGAGAATGTGTACTATACGCTGCTCAAGCTGGACATGGTTGGCATCTGGGTGAGCCAGAGTTTCGGTAAGTGAGCGTAATCTGAAAAACAAAATATATATACAAAAAAAAAATAAACACCACTCGGAAGCGGAAAGCATAGAAATATCAACATATATTTCAAGTACAGACAGACAGCTTATAAGTAGAGCTTCTAATCAGTTGAAGGACAGCCTCAGTAGATAACGCACTTTTGCATGGGATTCATATGGGCGCCCTGGCGGCACTCGTAGGCCTTGGCGAATGCATCGAAGTTGGCCATAATCGCATGAAGTCTCACCTCATCCGGCGCATGCTCATCACTGATGGCAATCGTGTGACGCAACTGGGGCAGCAAATCCGAGCACCAAATTTGGCCCAGGCCTAGAAAGAACAGCTGCTGCGGCGTGTGCGACATGCGAGGCAATGTCTCCGAGTCCAGCGTTGATTGATTTAGCCAGTTGAGGTAGGCGGCATGGGCAATACGCACGCCCACATTGTCCGCTATATTCTCGGACTGCATTTGCATTTTGGTCAGCCTTTGGCCATTGTAGCTAAACCCACTGAACTGTTGCACCAGGCACTGTTTCCGCTGCTCGAACTGTCTAGTCGCATTGCGTTCCCACCAGTCGCGCAGATTGCCCTGGCCATCAAAGGTGCGGGACAGATCATCGAAGCCGTGGGCCATCTCGTGGGCCAAGGAGAAGCCCACAGTGCCATACTTGAGCGCCATGGGATAGACCTCGTCAAAGAAGTAGCGATGCTGCATATAGCTGGCCGGGATTACAACACGATTAAACTCCGGCACATAGAAGGGCGACGTATTGATGCCATAATAATTATTGAGATTGGGTGCCCGTTGCAGATCCTCGCGCAGATGCTGGGCGCGCAGCTCCAGCAGCCGTTGCACGTTGCCGAAATAGTCGGCATTGCTAATCACCAGACGGCCATAGTAATCCTCAAAGTCGTGTGTGTTTGCGCCAAGTATGTGAAAGCTCATGGCCTTCAGCTTGGCCAGGGCTTCATTGAGGGTCTGTTCGCTTAGCCAATTGCTGCTGGGCGCGCGCAGCATATCGCCAAAGGCAACTTTCAGCTCCTGCCACAGCTGTCGCAGATGGCCGGGTATATGCGGATTCTGTTTCTCGAGCGAGCGATATACCATATGATCCACAAAATCGGTGAACAGCAGCGTGGTTTTCTCCGCGCACAGCTCGTGCTGCTTCTCTGCAGTGGCAGCCGGCTCCATGTCGTAGTCGCCAAGCAGCGTGGAGAGCATAAAGTTGGCCAGGGCACGCTTGGGCGTGCGAGCCAATACCTTTTTCACTTGCCACAGATAGCTCTCGACATACTCGTACACGGGCAGCTGATAGTCGTGATTGAGCCAGATTTGCACAAAACGCGTGAGATTCAGTTCGGGGCCATAGCTTTGGCTCATTTCGTCCAACATGCGCAAGCGATTCATCTGGCTCGGCGGCAGCTCCTCTTGTGGCTCAATGATGCCGCGTGCCAGCTCCATGTTGATACTGGCTATTTCGGCGGCCGTTTCCCGGGCACGCACCTCGCCCAGGCCAAGCAGCTGCTGCAGATTGTGCTTCAGCTTCAACTGGCTGCTCAGGTGTAGAGCAATGGCCTTGCTGCTAACCAGGTCATCCCGTTGACCCAGATACAAGCGATTTATCTGACTATTAGCCAGACCCGGCGAGACACGTACACTGAGCAGCGTTTCCTTGCCATATCGGTTCAGCAGGCGCGCCATCATTTCAATTGGCTCGAACTTGGACTCATCCCAGGCGCTGCCCTCGAGCGCGGGCAGACCCCCAAACTCTTTCAATATGCTGAGCAGGTGTGGACGCTGGTTCAGCTCCATTGTGCTGGTATTCAGGCAGGACTCGTAAAAATACTTGACACGCGTTTCTGTGGGACTGTCGGTACTCATCTTTGGCAGCCTGAACAGCTGACGCAAACGACGCTGATAGCCAGCGTTGAGCTCCTCAAAAAAGTCCGTGCTGATTGTTTCCTGCGTGGCCGGATTGATTCTGGCAAAATTGCCGCACGCATAGCCATAAAAATCATCGCACGGCCGCACGCTGCCATTTATGTAGGAGCGCATGCCGGCGGACTTGGCCTGCCGCATGATCTCATGCGTCAATGGTGTGTTGATATTCAGACTCTCGAATACGCCAGCGTAAACAGCGTCTGGCACGGTCAACAGCCAGCAGACGATAGCCCAAATGCTGACGGAAGCGGAAACAGCCCTCATCTTGCGTTGTGTCACACGCGATTGTCGTTCCCCAACTGAGCTCCAGCTGCTGGCGCTGCGCCTTATCACTGATTAGTTGCCCAAAACAGGTGTCATCGGCAGCAGCAACGATGTCGTCTTCGGCTTGGACATCTCATGTCTCTCAAGCAATTCTAGCTCTCTCTCTCTCTCTCTCTCTCCCCCTTTCCCTCTCTCTCTCTCTTTTACACTCTCTTGCAGGTGCGTTGCCGCTGGTTACGGCGACGACGCTGTGCTTTTCTCCAATTCTTAAGTGGTTCATTATTATCGCTTACTGTCTGCTCTCGCTGTGGGGTCTGTACAAGGTAAGATATTACTTGGAAATTATAAGTATATGCATTTCTATTTATTTTATTTACGGACATAAATATGCATTATAATAAACGTATTGGTATAGCCTTGCAGAACTGCGTCTATTAACAGTTCGATATTTAAATGTGATCCTTTTGTGTATTAAACAGGCACTGACCGCCAGCTCACCGTGGCAGAGGCGCCTTTGCTTCGCACTGCCCTTTGCCATGCGCTCCGTGCTGACCTTTCTGCGCATCCAAGGGATGGTGGGTGGCAGTCACATGGCCCTATCCCATGTCTACCTGCAGGTGCGTATAATATGGCATTCCAATTGACTAACTTGCTATTTTTTACCAATCATTTTCGGCTGGCTTGTGCGCATACTTAGGTTGAAGTTGTAAGTTGAATTTTCATATATTCTACACCTACATATGCATATGGACCAAGTGTAAGACTAGGCCGTATGCAACCGATATGATTGGTGTAATTTACACACCAGCCAAAAAAAAAAAAAAGAATGTCCCCCAAAAACGACAGCAATTTCATCTTTGCTAACACAAGACTTGTTCATTTTATTGGATTGCTTCAGGACGGCGTTTCCATATTAGGCGGCGCTATTGGTGCCATGCGCATACCCGAAAAGTGGTTCCCAGGTCTGGTCGACTTCTATCTGAACTCGCACAACATTATGCATGTGCTGGTCGTGGTGGCTGTCTACTCCATGCACAAGGTGCTGTCACTCTGATGTAAATGTACATATATGCTTTGACTACAGACTCTTCTCCTTCGGTAGGCCACAATCAAGGACTTTGAGTGGATGTCTACTCAGACCTGCAATTCGCTGGCCAATGCTACCGAACCATCGCTGACCCATATGGAACTATGACCCGCTTACTGGCTGCTACTGCTCCTGCTCCTGACACTGCTGCTCTTGATAAAGCCTCAACCACGACGCGCACCAATCAACTGGCAAATGGAGAAGGAGCATTCGCGGGCTGACTAGACAAAAGCCACAGCCAAAAAAGGAGGGATTAAGAACAAAGCAAAGTAAATGCTTCTCGAAATATACCGTGTATAAATGAGCGCGTGCTGTAACAGTAACAATATGAATAAGTTAATAGTGAATAGTGAATATATGTACATATGTATATGTATAATTAGTACATACTTCGACTGTGGTATTTAGCATTAAGGTGACTATGAAATATGAATGAAGTGAATTACAAAGCGCTTTCAATTATAACTTCTTTGCGCTACTCTCATGCAAAGCCTCTGAGTACTATATGAACGATAATTTCAATGATGTTGATACATATGTACCTCAATATGCTTACAACCAAAAAACAAAACAAAAACAAAAAAAAAACAAACAAACAAAACAGAAACATCTAATTTTCAAATACTTATATAACTTTGTACCTCGTCGACTATAAAAGAAAAACGAAAGTTAGGCATTAAGAAACTTTAAAAAAAAAACTTCCTAGTTGAATTACAATGATATGAAATGTCTTTATTTGAGAAAAAAAAAACCTCTAATGCGTATTTTATGCAATTAGTTAGATGTAACCATTGGACAAGTGTGAACAAAATCTTCAGGCTAATCGCTGCTGAATCGAATTAGTAAAACTTCCTAATTTTCAGCACTCCTTATGTAGCAAAAAATAAAACTCCGAAAATGATATTCCCTAGGTTTTAAGAGGCAGATGTAGAATAATAAAATTAAAATACGGCAAAGTATTTGAATCCAAAAGATGAAACAATTATGAGTAATTAGCGTTTAGTAGTTCCAATAATTTACACCACACAGTTTAAAGAGAAAGTAAATATAATTAATGAAACCAA